ATGGACATTGCTGTTCGAAAGCGCTGGAGACGCTGTAGTACACATGCCAGGCCTGTAGATGGTGCTGTTCTCACAGAATCAGCCCATGCAAAGACAGTGTTAAATTGAGCGAAATGAGGAATGGCTAAAATGCATGATCTGTTTGGTATTTTGAAAAGAAAAAAAAGTATAAATATGCCTTATATAGGTATGGTCCTACACTATATTATTCAAATATAGCATGATAGGTCCACTTTAAATACGAACAAAGAATGGACTAATAAGCAATAATAACCGCACTGCACTCTGGGGCGTTGCAGCCATTTTTGGAGGAATCGTATAGCAACAGCAGCATCCATCAATACACAGTATATTAGCCTCACCCCGGTCATCTGTCAGCATTTAGCATCCTCAAATGAAAAGAGCATGAGCAAAATATAAATTCCCTTATAAAGAGAAGCTCTAGGCAGAAAAAGAGGAGGGTTATTTAAAATAATAAAGTTAATTAATGACAACTGTTCATAATTAATAAAAGAAGAACGGGCCGACACTGTCAGTGAGCTAAATTGTTACAGCCAGCAACATAACAGTGCCTACCAACCATGTTTAAAACGTTTATTGTGAAAAAGTTATACTTCTTTGCTGGATGTACAGATAAGTGAATTGGTTGTGTTTGCTGATCATCCAAAGACAAACCACTTGTGCAGTAAAATGATCCCGCTCAATATTTTTTTCTCAAAATCTGTTGACATTTGTAGAGTTGTTTGCTACTGTCAAACGATTGTGTCTTGTGTTAACCTCATAATAAATAATAATGTACGATTTGGATCTGCTCCAAAATATAACCAAATGTTTCCTGACCCACGCTTCCCCAAAACGCAGACGGACAACCAAACCAAAGAGAACATATCCTTCTTATTGGCTGAGGTAATAATTGGATTTGAACCCAGGTTTCAGGGCGTTAGGATATAATGAAGCTCTATCCTTTTCGTTCCCTTGCTTGACCTTCTGACGTGCAAGCTCAGGAATCTTTACATAAAACCTCAATCTGCTCCTTCTTTTTACAAAAAGCAACAAGAGCAGCGGTGATAAATGATTATAATCTAAGTCTCGGTCCATTATATGTTATGCTAGAAAATACAACCTGGGTTAGAGTGGTTTCTCTCAGTCATTATATATACAGTCTATGGTCTCAGCCTGATCTCTGTTGTCTGACACACTAATCCACCAGGTGGGTCATGGCACGAAAACAAGATGCATTCTGGGAAGTCAAACACCTCACAGGTTTATCTCCCTGACATCTACCTTTCTTCTAATTCTAAGCTTAATAATATATCCTTGCTTAGGGAATTTTAACATTTTCTATTTCTATTTTCTATTATTTTACTGATTTATACTTAACTGTGCAGATCCCTTCAGAAAAATATTTTATTATTTCTAAAATAGATTTGACAAGCACGGTCATCAAAGGATATTTTTGGTTGTAGTTTGGTGTGGAGGATATACAGTATATCCTGTACCGCCATTTTGTTCTTCTAACAAGTATGATTAATGACCAGCTGGTAAAGATAAGGAACCAATGGAGATGATGCACAAATGAGAATAAAAATAAAACATTATTGAGAAGAAGAAATATCATTGCAGATATACAAATGTAGTAAAAAAGCTGAGGATGCTGTCAGATATAATGAGAAACCTTATATTATATTTAAATAACTTTATGTATTGATCCTCCTTCTGTTCACAGTGGGGCTGTCTCTTTCATACAAGGTAAGTCTGTCTGTCTGTCTGTCTGTCTGTGTCTCTGTCTGTCTGTGTCTCTGTCTGTCATTGTCTGTCTTTCTGCCTGTCTCTGTCTGTCTGTCTGTCTGTCTGTCTGTCTGTCTGTCTGTCTGTCTGTCTGTCTGTGTCTGTCTGAATGAAAATAACAATTTAATCAAACATGCATACATTATTTCAGCACTTCGGTTTACAGCTGCATGCTAGAACAATTGTGCCCAACTGCTAAATTAATCTAAATGTTAGCAATAGTTACACACATAAGTAGATGGGATAGCATGATGCAGACATAATGATACTGACTACAAACAAATCAACTGCAGAGCATTACAATACATTCCCTGCAGTTAAATGCAGGACTTAAATCTAATGTATAAGTAATGAGTACATCTAATGTGTCAGGTGCATGTGTAACCCTGAATACTTGAATAAATATATAAGTACCCGATATTATGAGTCAGCTGGAATCAGGTGCCACTCATAGTTAGGCATGAACTCAGTAAGTATGTATTATGCTGACCTGAAGCGTAGTAAAAGGCCAGTAGACGTAATAGAGGAGTAATATCTTTTATTTTGTGTGGTGCAACCTTGAATAAAATAACAAAAATTATTATTATTTTCTGTTGAAACCTGAAATGTTTCACCTCAGATAAATATTTTTGAGATATGTATATTTCAATTTAACGTACACTATAACACCTATACATGATTGTTTTTTTTATAAAATGAGAGAATTCATCCTGTTTTTGTCTCTGCAGATGAAGAGATGGCTCAGAGGGATGGAGGGATGTGGACAGAGGAGCCTTTGGCATCGGCAGATCAGGCAGAAAGAAGACTGCAGGTAAACACTTACTGAAGAACAAAATAGAACTCATAAAAGGTAAAAACACACAATAAACAACAACAATAAGCTGGTGGTAAAACACAACATTTCTAATCTGTCATTCAAAATTGTCATAGGTAAAAGTAAGACAGAGTGAAAGAGAGTTTTGTTGAATTCACTGCTAAGTAGTCATTTCTTAGAAACAGTTGAGGAAGGGGAAAAAGAGAAGGCATTGAATAAGTCTGGATCAATATCAACCTAAAGTAAAACAAAAATAAAAACATCTGCTTCACAGTGATGCAAAGGTAAATATACTAACTGTTGACAAACCACACGGGCTTCTTTGTTGATTTATTATATAGGCATGCCTAATTGCATTTAAAGTGTAATGGTGTTTCACATGATACAAACGTGTTTGTTCTCAATGGTTGTCTCTTTCCTTCTACAGACTGCAGATGTGTCAAGGAGGAAGTTACTTCAGACTCCAGGAATTGCAGTTCCCTTTCCTCCCCTCAAGGTGGTGATAGTACCTTAACCACATTTGTTCACAGTAGCAGTTTCCAATCCTTCAAATCTTTGTAGGCTTTTCTAAAATGAGGTGATGAGAAATCATCTTAGGTCAACTGGAAATGTTGCTCTTGGTGGAAAAATAAAAGTTTTCCAAGAATATGATGATATATATATATATATATATTCAAACTCCTGGACAAATGATCATCAGATGATCCATTGAGTAAAAGTAGTAACACCACAAGTAAAAGACCTGCATTCAAATGTTTTACTAAATTTAAAATCTAAATCTACATAATGTTCCAAAACTACAAGTGCTCAAAGGCCAATTTCAGAGTAATGAATTGTCTACTTTACTATTGTGTAATTATTATTGATGCATACATGTGTTAAGGAGAAGCTTATTTTTTATATATATACTGTATATAATGTTGGGTAGCTTATAAACTTCCCCAAGATAACCCAAAAGGTTATTGTAAGCTATAATAATACCTATTTTTTTGTATAGATAACGCAAAACAAAACACACGTATTGCAATTGGTGGTGGTATGAAAATTAATTTTGTATTAACTCATATATTTAAATATCCCCACCAGGTGATGTCGGATGGGGAGCCGTGCGTCATGTTCCAGGCCCGGAAGCTGTCTCTGCGCTACGAGAAGCAGAAGCAGCTGGACCTGACGGAGAGAGCGTTCTCTCCTCAGAACCCTGTCGACACGAGCCAGTCCGTCTGCCGCCAGGACAAGGCCACGTACGTTCAAACGCCTGTTTGATGCACACCAACCTGGTAGCATCAGAAACAGAAAGATTTGGCTGTTTTCTGATGTTAATTATAAATGTATTGAAAAAAGTTATCCCTCCTCAAACAAGTTATTTATCATAAAAAATATCAAATGAAATTGTACAAATAATTGACATTAAGAAATTGAAAAATATATACTTTAAAAGCAATAAAGTATGTTCAAGTAAGGATGTTAATGAGGGAAGTCCAACAATACTTCCTTTTTTTGCTTCATTTCCAAAAAAAAGGTAAAAAGATGTCTTCCTGTCTGCTTATCTTCAACAGGCTGGTCATGAGGTTTGGAGATGTGGAGGATTTGAGAGACCTTTCCATAAGGTCAGTCATAACATTTGTCTGCTGATTATGCATAAAACTATAATTATAGATTGTAAAATAATCGACATTGTAGAGTAGATGATAGAAATACTGTTGTCTGAAAATAAATGTCTTCAGTTAAAAATGACTAGTAAATATTACTTAAGCAGAAGTACAGAGGTATGATCAGCACACAGTTCTTAATGGATCAAAAGTAAAAGTATTTAGTTACATTCCACAACTGTCTACAGCCATTGAAGCAGCAGCCGTTAGGATAAATGAAGTGTTGTTTCCTCCCCTCTCGCTGGTGTCAGGCTGCAGCTGTCCAACACTTTCTACGAGTCTTCGGGTCAGTGGTGGTTCTCGGTGGACAGCGTGTCTGTGCGGTACAACTCCTCTGAGGAGGCAGTGTTCAACGCCAGCGACGTGTACGCTCCGACCTCCTCCTCCTACCACTGCCTGCACGTCAGCAGCCTGCAGCGCTACAGTGCCCTGCTGCTGCCCAGCAGCGAGGACGCTCACCGCTGGAGCCTCACCTTCACCAACTTCCAGGTACCCTCCTTTTAACGGACTCACTGTCTCAGATTCAAGAGGGTTTGTAACTTTAGATCTTATAAAACTTTAAATACATTTAGTTAGAATCTGAATATTTTATTTCTCCCAGGTTTCCTGGCAGTTGCTCAATTTTAGAAAAAAATAAAATTACAAAAAGAAAATATGTGTAATAAGAAGACAATATGAAGTAAAATCAAATATTGATTTAAACTAAGAAGTTAAGATAAAATGTGTAAGTTGTACTAGAATTATTAATATTTTACAATACATACCGTGACATATTAGTATTTATTTAGAAATGGATGATGAAAACCAGATTATCGCTCAATATGTAGTATAATATAATATACTTTTCTTAATTATTTTCATCCCCTCCACAGATTCAGGCATTCAACATCACCTCCGATAGATTCTCTCCGGCGACCGTCTGCGCCACCTTCATGACGCCGGCCATCCTGATGGGGCTGGTCACTTCCCTCATCCTGCTGCTGGTGCTGGCCTATGCCTTGCACATGGTCATCCACCTGAAACACATCGAGCACGAGGACGAACACAAAGCTGACGTCTACTTCCCCCAAAGCCCAGAACAGCCCGAACACTGCTGTGTGGAGAGCGACGCTGAGAAAAATATTCTGTAGTGTGGCGAAGAAGATATTTAGAGACTGTTACACTTTAAAAAGAGATAGAGAGCTGATTATAAACTGCTGGTGCAATGGTTTACTTTCAGCTCGGGGTTAGACTTTTTTATATATATATTTATAGTGTTTTTTTTATTTGCCTGCTAGTTAATATCTGCATTTGTCTTTATAACAAATTTAATAAAAAAATATAAAAAAATCACATTTGGTTCCGATCTGTTTTCTCTACAAAGGACATTTTTCCTTTTAGTTGTTTTTTTTCTGTGCTTGTTATACTGAGTGGGAAAAATCACATTTTTAAATGGGCATAGACTTCAAAAGGCCCCTCCAAGTCTCCTCCAGAGACTGTGTGCAATGTTTTCCTCTTTTGTGTGGTTGTTTTACATCTCATTGTAGATTTGTTTCCGTGGTTGAGTGTCTCTTGTAGTGAATTTGTGTCTTTTTATAGCTGTTTTATGTATATCTTTGGTCAATTACAACTCTTTGTAGCTGTTTTGGGTATTATCCTCAAAATGTGTTCTTCTGTACCCGGAAGGCTCAGTATTCAGTTATCCATGGTTATATGATTCATTTATCAAAAATACAAATCATAACCATATAAATCAAAGAATAAGAATATTGTCAAAGAAAATCGACTGGTGTTATGTTCATCCTGTCTGGTAGGTGGCAGTGGCATGCTTTTAATAAGCCACATTTTACAGAAGAAGAAGACAGTTCTTATTATACATCCATGGTCTATGGGCATGACTTACCAGGGAGGGAGGAAAATGTCATTTCTCGGATGAGAATAGGTCACACAGGTCTCAATCATACATTAAGGGTAATAGGAAAGCATCCAACCGGAAAGTGTACACACTGTAGCCAGCCAGAAACGGTTGAACATGTTTTGCTGCATTGCAGGAAATATAGTATTCAGAGAAATGTGCTTTTCCAAACACTGAAGAAAGCAAAATACATTGACTTTTCGCTATCAGGGCTGTTAGGGAAAACATCAGGCAATATGTATTGTGAGCTTATTACGTTTCTTAGAGAAATTGATAAATTTAAAATAATCTAGAGTTTTGGTTTTATTTATTTTGTTGTTTGTTTTATTTTGTTTATTGTTTTCTGCATAGTCTCTTGTCCATACTCCAGTCCAGTTGGTGGCGGTAATGCACCTAAAATTTGGTTTGCCAACCGCCAATAAACACTAAAGAAGAAGAAGAAGAAGAAGACTTACCAGGGAAAGACATGACAGATAACATTGTTTGTGAATATTTAAAAAAAAAAAAAATGTTGTTTTAAGCAGGGTTTTATATCTCTGAATCCTGTGTGTTGTTTAGTTTTGAATCAGACTGCTGGAGGGTGAATAACACTCGGTGGTGTTCTCTTCTGGTTAGCTTGCTGGTTAGCACCATGGGGTTAGCACTGTGTCGGGCAGTTGTTGACGTCATATAAATAGGGAGCACTCTACTTGTCATTGACTTTACCGGCGTGGGTGATGAATGTTGGTGTAGGTTCAAGTTAATGTAGAATATCGTTAATGCAGGTTAGCGCCAGTGTAGTTAAACGTCATTGTAGTTTGCCCCGCTGTCCTCTACCTGTCGCTGGTCGTTGACATTACTTAGTTTACCGTCAGTGTATTTTTCCCTGTTGTCCTCTACCTGCCCCGCCGGGTCCTCATGTTTAACCGCCTCTCCGCTGCTCTCACACTTCTCCCCCGCCGCCTACTGCTCGTCTCTTCACCGAGGACTCTGACCGGAGCCTGCCGCCTCCTCGGCAGAATGAACCCCGCCGTGGTGAGATGCCTCCCCGGCGAGCCCAAACTCACCATCTCCTTCAGTCTGGACGGCAGCCACAAACACATGATGCGGGAACAGGATGAGCCGCTGGGAAAGGCCCTGGCCAGGATATCTCACGGCCTCAACAAGAGCCAAGGAAAGGCGAAAAAGTCAAAGAAAAAGAAAGGAGAGACGCCGGGCGAAGCCCCTGTGCTCACCGCGGTGAAGCTCTACTACAACGGGGAGGAGGTGTCCGACATGTCGCTGAATTCGGAGGCGTGGCGGGACGGAGCCGTGCTGCAGGTGGGAGACGTGGAGTACTCTGTCCGCAGGAACACTCCCACCTTGACCAACGCAGAGCTCCCCGCGTCCCTGCTCGCAGAGTTCCCCGTGTGCCCCAACCTGGAGATAGAGTTCGGGAACCTCGAAGACTGCGAGTTCACGTGGTATAGAGAAATTGCCCCAAACACAAGGTAGGAAGAATCAGCTTTATTGGCCAAAACATGTGTGCACAATGCACATACAAGGGATGTGTTACTTTCAAAGTACTTTTAGATACATAATATTTGTTTGAAGTAACGTCTTTCATGTTCATGTTTGTATGTTTCGTGATTTTGTTGACAAAAGGCTCAAAAGCCCAAATAGTCAGAATACTTTGTTGTAATCAAGGTGGGCTACAATGCCTTAGTTGAGGCTTACAATTGTTTAGTCTAAGGCGACATTGTAGAGGCTTCAGCATGATCCAAACACACACACATTAACAAGATTACATTTGCAACATCAAACGTAATTTCCTTACAATGCTTTACAAATCCAGCAATGATCAGGCTTTAATCCAATGTCATGTTTAATCCAGTATAGGAGTCAGTTTGTCAAATGATGATGGAAGTATTTATTGTAGACTCTACCAGTGGCGGCTGGTGGAAAATATTTTAAGTAGGGCTGTGGAAATGGTGACCCAACAATACTAGGGGGGTCCGGGGGGGATGCTCCCCCGGTAATTATTTTTTGAGAAAAGACCCCTTAAATTATGACTTCTGGTGATGTTAGAGGGGTGGGGAGGGACAAATTGAGGCTTAAAAATATGAGAAAACTGATCAATACCTCCATAATCTTCAGTGAGGTTAGCTATGAATCTTCCAAACACCTTGTCCTGTATAAACTGTGCAACAGTACACAAACTGCAGAACACCGGGGGCTTTGGGAACACTCAAAATTACTTTAAATGACACTACTACCAGCACTGGAAATTACTATGTAATCAGACTTGGGCCAATAAGATCAAGCTAAACTTCTGAAAACAAAAGACAGGATCTGAGAGAAAATACAATCCGTGAAGCAAACAAATCTGTTGGTCTTTTTACTTTTTACTTTTATTTTATATAATTGGGCAGCATAAAGAGAAGAAATTCAAAGAAGATATGGAAAATTCTGCACCTTTTTGTTATTATTTTTCTCTCTGATGTTTTATATCATAGCACTGAAGCTGCGGTCGAAGTTGAAGGTCAGGACAGCAAGTGGACACAGGTAGGATGTGGGAGAGTCTACGTTCCGTCCATTCAGGACATCGGCTACAGGCTCAAACTGCGCTGCACCCCTAAAGATGGAGGACGCAGCGGCCTTCCCAAGGAGCTCCTCTCTACGGCCATAGAGGCCGGACCGGGGGTGTGCACGTTCGACAACAGGCACGCGTACACTCTCAAAGAGGCGGAGTGGCCGTCTGTGAGGGTGGTGTCGTACAACATCCTCGCCGACACCTACGCCCAGACTGAACTGTCCAAGACGGTGCTCTACCCGTACTGCGCCCCCTACGCCCTACAGCTGGACTACAGGCAGAACCTGATCAAGAAGGAGCTCGCCGGGTACAACGCTGACATCATCTGTCTGCAGGAGGTGGACAAAGGTAATAACTGGAGAAATGGATAGTTGATACAAAAAGCTAGCCTCCATCTTTTCTGCACCATCATCTGGTGGATATTTGAGTCTTCTTTATGCAGGGTTGCTACGCTTTCTGGAATTCCTTCAAAACTGTTGAATTTGAATGTTTCAAGGTTTGCGATTTGCTTCAGTTTGCAATTACCTGCTTAACATTTTGATTATATGGGATGCCAAGTAGACACACAGAGGTGTCAAATTTTACATTTTTGTTGCGTTTACCTTTTTTAATTGTCACCATTTCGTACTAATACTACCACTAATATATAACTTAAGTTGTTTATTACGATATTATTACGTGTATATATGATGCAAAATGTTTGAAAGATGCTTGAATTTGTATTTGAAAAGGGTTGGAAACCCTACGTGTGACTTCCTTCATGTTCCCTGGTCTCTTTAGGGGTGTTTGTTAACAGTCTGACTCCAGCCCTCGATGCCTTCGGTCTGGACGGTGTTTTCAGAACCAAAGACAGGCAGCATGAAGGACTCGCTACATTCTACCGCAGGTCAGGGTCCACCAGCACCTGGACTGAAGAAAATGCCTTCTGAGTTTTTGAAGTTTCTGTTAAAGCCTCGTTCTTTTTTCCAAAACTTAACTTTAGGTATAAATGTGGTGCATCACTTAAAAGCAGGTTGATTGATATAGGATTGTTACTAAACAGCCCCCCTTGGTGAAGAATCTGAGGATAAATGTGAGACAGTAAAAGTCGGGTTGGGCTCGATCAGAAGTACACTGTCCAATACAGTCGGTACACTTGAAGGGGCAAAAGGCTGATCATAACACAGGACTACCCCACCAGAGCTACAATCTGATCCTTATATTTTCTTAGTGTTTATTTTATATTGTTTTTTTAGATGGTAATAAACCTTTCAATCCTATATTAAGTCGCGTAATTAAAAAGTGCATCATTTTGTCTTTTTAGGTCAAAGTTGAAGCTTTTGAGCAGTCATAATATTTCGCTGAGCGAGGCGCTAACCTCTGACCCAATCCACTCTGCGCTGCTGGAGAATCTCTCTGCGAGCACGGCTCTGAAGCAGAACATCCTGAAGAGGTCCACCGTCCTGCAGGTACAGCTGCTCACATGCTGCACCGCGAGAATCATTCATACTAGTAGAGTTTTGGGCTTGTAGTCGTTGAGCTCTAATTGGCATTAGAACATTGGGTTAGGTAGTTTTGTTAATTCAAATATTTAATAGGCAAATGAATTAATCGAAAGAAATAAACAAAATCATCAAATCCCCCCCAAAATGCTGTCAAATGGACACACTGTGGCCGTCTTTGAAAATAGTTGTTGTGACTTGTTTGTTTTCAGGTCAGTGTGCTTGAGGATGTGAGTAAACCTGGCAGGAAGGTCTGCGTGGCAAACACTCACCTGTACTGGCTCCCCAAAGGTAAAATAGCTCACTCCTCTGTATGAACACACCTGATGTAAAAGAGCAAAGTGCAAGAACACATTTCTAAAAACAAATTAAATGTCTTTGAAGGAGGGAGCATCCGCTTGGTCCAGATGGGCGTGGCTCTGCAACACCTGAATCATGTGATCAATGAGGTCGCACCTGGAGCCCCTCTGATCTTCTGTGGAGACTTCAACTCACATCCTGACTCGGGTAACTCCACAGCAACATCGGTCTCTGCCAGAATTTAATTCAGCTAAAGCACATAGACTTCATTGACTTCATATTGTATTTAAAAGCTGCTGAGTCATTGTTTGTCTCCTCTTCCTGTCTGCAGGTGTTTTCCAGCTGCTCAGCGAGGCTCTTGTTCCTCTGCAGCACGCAGACTGGAGCAGCTTGGGGCCGGAGGAGTCCTGCAGCATGGAGCTGCTCTCTGCCCTCCCCCCTCTGCTGAGCGCCTACGGACAGCCGGCCTACACCAACTACGTGGGAGGATTCCATGGCTGCCTGGACTACATCTTCATACAGCCGGACAGCATGCAGGTACTAGTACTGAAGTCAAGCTAATACTGTCACTTCATTACTGTTAGTGCTGCCAGGGCCACTGATACGAACAGCACTGACAGATCAGTGTGGCAAATACTCAAGTTAGGAGTATACTTGCTGTTGATTTCTGAACTAAGAGGTCGCAATTTACCGATCAAAAAGCAGCAATTTAAAACCATTATTTTTATCGCTAAACAATCTAACTATTTACAGGGTCAGAAACACCTTCACTTGAGCACATGCTGCCCTATGCTCCACATGACACATGCAAATGGGAGTAGATGGCGAAAACAAATTGACAAGCTATGATGTTAGCGCAAGCACTGTGAAATCAATATTAACATATTATGTTGTTGTAAGAGTAGTAGTCCTATGAATAATGTGTGTCATTGCAACTAGTTTGAAACCAAATTCTGGTTTTATACAGAAGTAGGAAAACATTTTTGTACAAGTTTGAATTTCATTTCCCACTAAAGTAGGGGAGTAGATATAATAACAGTATCTGTGTTTTTGCAGGTGGAGCAGGTGATTCCTCTGCCCAGCCACCAGGAGGTCACCACCTACGAGGCTCTGCCCAGCGTCGCTCACCCCTCTGACCACATCGCCCTGATCTGTGACCTGCGCTGGAACCCCTGACCTCTGACTTCTTGAACCAAAGACTAGAGAACCAGGCTTCTCACTCAAACACATCCTGACTTTGGATTTTCTTAATACTAGAATAAAGTCTGAGCATGGGGATGTGTTCCTGCAGGTTAACTGTAAAAAAAAATGAAATGCTTGTTTTAAATTACAATATAAAATGTACTGTTAATATTGTAATATTTACAGTACAATAAATACATTTTAATCACTGATATTCAGTGTTTGAGCTGAAATGATGCACATTATTTGTTATTTTTATTAAATGTAATTACTATTTGGCTGAAACACTTGACCGAACACAGGTTGCTGGTTCATGTGTTGTTAATAATTATTGTTAACACGAGTTAATATTAGAAACCGAAGTAATGTTTTTACTGCTGGTTTTTTCCACATCTTAGTTCACATGGACTCTTAATGGTTTCGAGACCCAATGATATGGTAAAGAAATACATATATTATTAACGTATTAAGTTATTTATTATTACTTTTACTTTTATTTTGGCCAAACAAGATGCTCAGTGAGTGGTGCTTAAAGTTGTTTATTTTATTTGAAATAAAGTCTTGCTCAAAGCATTGGTCATATTATTGGCTCTGCTTTTGATTTTTATATTTTCAACAACACTTAAAGCCAACAAAAGAGGTTGTAAATGTTTCTGTGACTTTTTTTGGTAAGAAATAGAAACAATTAAGTCAAACATTCTGACCGAGAATTTGTGATTTGAAAGTTGATTAAAGTGGACGATGGACCGATATATTTACACTGGCTGTCAGCTGTCAAACTCCAGTGCAGTGGCGTCACCTTCTATCGCCACGCTGTTTTTCTCTCATTAGTCAGAAGTAGGGAAGAGGCGGGGATTAGTGTTTAGGACAAACCATTGTGTCGTATGTGGGGTCAAAACTAAAAGTGTAAATAAAAGTGACGCTATAGGTGGGACAGTCTTGACGACATTTCATCAAGAAAAGATCATTCAAAAGTATTTAAACATCTATCCCATTTTGCTTTCTAGTATTAAAACTAGCATTTATTTCGAGTTAATACGCCAATGGTTTTTAACACACCCGTGTCAGTGAAAGAGGCGAAAGGCAGGGAGTCATGTGTGGTCAAGTTCCCCAGACTCATCCAGCAAAGCGGACACCGGTTGATTTGTCTTATAAAATAAAAATAAAGACTTATCTCACTGCAGGTTCCAGCCAGGTAAAGTATCATTTAAATATTGATGAGAGTAACACCTACGTCACTTCCGGGCGAACATTACGGCCCCGACCACTTTTTGGGGAAAACAACGCTGCCATTTGAATGGCGGTCAATACAAATTCTGAAGTTTTTGCCAATCCGATTAGAAATGTAAGAAAACCGTGGATTTTTGGATCTTCAAAGAGCCCGATTACGATGGCCAGACAGGCAAACAATTACATTAAATAATTAGAAATCGACGATCGGGCTCGATATGGTTAAATTAAAATCAGTAGGCGAGGCCGTAATTTCGCCAGCTGTTACTCTCATGAACGAGGCAGAAAATAATAGTTTTATCATGCCAAAAAGCTGCTTTGCCGTTTATTGCACCTCAAACATTAAAACAAATCCAGAGTTACGTTTTTCTGGGCCCCTGGCCGGCTCTGGGCCCCCGTGCGTTGCACCAGCTGCACCGTCGATAGTTACGCCTGTGCTCTCATCTATACTTACACACTGACAGTGTGTAAGTATAGATGAGAGCACAGGCGTAACTATCGACGGTGCAGCTGGTGCAACGCACGGGGGCCCAGAGCCGGCCAGGGGCCCAGAAAAACGTNTCTATCTATGTTTTAATTGTTGTTTTACTTTTATGTATGCACCACGACACCTAGTCAAATTCCTCATACGTGTCAACCCACCTGGTAATAAACCTGTTTCTGATTCTGAAGTTTTGTTCTTTATGATTTCTTAATGTCTGCACAATGCACAAAGTTAAAGATGAAATTGCCTTAAAATATCTTTTTAAACTTTCTATAACTTGCAGTAATATAATTCCCAATGGTCTCTGTCCTGTACTCACCCACTGGCCCACAGAGGAGCTCCACCCAACGATGCAGCTCTCCAGCCAGGAGTGAGATCGGACCCGCGCCCCCTTCATCACCGTGCAGCGCTTTATCCTCACGCCTTCCTCCACCACCACCCCCGCACCGATGGTGACGTTCGGCCCGATGGTGCAGTTCTCCCCGATCTGCGCTGTGGGGTCCTGGAGTCAAAGATTCACTGTCTTAAAGTCATGAGCACAACAGCTACAGCCTAGTGATGCAATGTACATCTGAAGACCAAGACTCCTCCAACAGTGAAACATACAACATGCTTATAACATACCTATCTTGGAGAACAAAGGGTTGTAATCTCTTCAGCTTGAGTTAACCACAGACCATATCTCACGCATCTTACCAAAACTTATTTCCGATCTCTAGGACTCATTCCTGCACCACTCTTATAATTAGAAACGTGTTCAGTGATGTATTTATTTGACATCATGTGGCGGCCATCAGCAGAACTCACCACAAGAACGTTGCCAAGGAAACCGGGTCCCGTGCGTAGCCTCTCAGGAGCGTGTTGCCGTAGCGACTGAAGGTACATACACATCCCTGTGAGGAAGTCTTTAGGCTGACCGATGTCCATCCAGAAACCTGCAGACAGACAGACAGACAGGCAGACAGACAGACAGACAGAGAGACAGACAGACAGACAGGCAGAGAGAGAGACAGACAGACAGACAGGCAGAGAGACAGACAGACAGAGAGACAGGCAGAGAGACAGACAGGCAGACAGGCAGAGAGACAGACAGGCAGACAGAGAGACAGACAGAGAGACAGACAGACAGACAGGCAGAGAGACAGACAGACAGAGAGACAGGCAGAGAGACAGACAGGCAGACAGAGAGACAGGCAGAGAGACAGACAGGCAGACAGGCAGAGAGACAGACAGGCAGACAGACAGGCAGACAGGCAGAGAGACAGACAGGCAGACAGAGAGACAGACAGACAGACAGAGAGACAGGCAGAGAGACAGACAGGCAGACAGAGAGACAGGCAGAGAGACAGACAGGCAGACAGAGAGACAGACAGGCAGAGAGACAGACAGGCAGACAGAGAGACAGACAGGCAGAGAGACAGACAGGCAGACAGAGAGACAGACAGACAGACAGAGAGACAGGCAGAGAGACAGACAGGCAGACAGAGAGACAGGCAGAGAGACAGACAGGCAGACAGAGAGACAGGCAGGCAGAGAGACAGACAGGCAGACAGAGAGACAGACAGACATACAGGCAGACAGACAGGCAGGCAGAGAGACAGACAGACAGACAGGCAGAGAGACAGGCAGAGAGACAGACAGGCAGGGAGACAGGCAGACAGACAGACAGGCAGGCAGGCAGAGAGACAGACAGACAGGCAGAGAGACAGGCAGGCAGGCAGGCAGGCAGACAGGCAGGCAGACAGAGAGACAGACAGACAGACAGACAGACAGACAGACAGAGACAGGCAGGCAGACAGCAGACAATATTGATATTCCGCCATATAGTAGGGTTGACTTTTGGTTCTTTCAAAACAAATATGTACACAATTAAATGGTTGATAGATAATAATCAATAATAACAAAACAATAAAAAAGAAAATGTAATTCTACTTTACTCTAATGCAGCTTTTAAAACCAGGGAATTAAATGTGATATAAGATATATACAATATCGATATTATATCAATATATTGCCCTAATTTCGGTAAATGGACTTGCATCTATAGCGCCTGTTTGCACTACATGCCTACATTTACACATACCAAGCTGTTCCTCATCTGATCTCATCTAATGCTCATTCACAATTTACACTTTGGGAGAATTGAACCGCGGGATTTTTCCACGGATGCATGAAGCTTCCTGAGAGAAACAAAGCCACTACAACCTGTCAGCGACACAGACTACAGCATGGAAGGAGGCTGGTCGATAAAGAGAAGGATAAAGTATGGAGAAGCACCGATTCCAGATTCCTTCCACACATTCTGATCAGTTATATTTGTATCTAAACACGACTACAGGATCCAAGATTGAATAATAACCAGAGAGCAGTGTTGATCCCCACATTGTGTTCCTGATGTTTGGTGAGAATCGGTGCTTCTCTACAAGTGTTTCCTCTCCACAGACTACGGGAGTTTGGGTGTGAGGAAAAGCCCAAACACTTACATCTGGTAGAGCAGTGAGCTGTGAGGCCGGAGCGAGCACACAGGTCAACCTCCCACAGTGCCATGTTAAAGTACTTTCTTACAGAAATAACAGTGATATGAATAAGACAAAAAGATCACGGGGAAATATGACTTTCTACCCAAAGTTAAATGAGGAGATGCATCAATTTGATGTCTGACTTACTGCACTTATTTATTTTCAGTAATTTGACATTTCTATTTTATAATTTTTTGTGCATTCATATTCAAAAAAATGTAAGGGTTAAACAATAGTTTTTCTTATATAAATAATATATATTTGCTCTTATATGCACCGTTATAAAGAACAATCCTTAAACCTACTTATAAATAAATGTTATGTATAAAACAATAAATGTAAATCTGGCTCCTTTTCAGATGACAATAAAACAATAAATAATGATCCTCGATCAAGCTGTCTGGTTTCTCTGTTATCTATGATCACGATTTGAAGATTTTGCCTTTTCAAATGTTGAGGGACAAATCAAGACTTTGAAGAGGTCCAATTTCAATATTTTTCGACATTGTATACAACTTTTTTATGTAAAAGTGTCATCTGTTAGAAAAGTGAACTGATAAAGAAAATGTTTGTTGGTTGCAGCCATGATTAAAATAAATATTAATGATCGTTTAGATAATATTATATATAAGATTTGTGCTGTAGTAGTTACCTTGTAGCTCCATCGTGTACAGCTGCCCCTCCTCTGCCATGACAGGAAATATCTCTTTCTCTATAGATGTTGGTCTTAGCTACACACACACACACACACACACACACACACACACACACACACACACACACACACACACACACACACACACACACACACACACACACACACACACACACACACACACACACACACACTAATTAATTAAATGCCAGATCAACGTATCAATACGTAGAAATATTGTAAGGTTAAAATCACAGTGCAAACACACCTGTTTTTGTATTTGTGTGTGTGTGTGTCACCTGGATCCTGCTGAGCATGCTGGGATTGAAGATGTAGATGCCAGCGTTGATCTTGTTGGAGACGAAGACCTGTGGTTTCTCCACAAAGCGGTGTATCCTGCCGCTGTCCGCCTCAAACACCACCACGCCGTACTTAGAGGGCTCCTCCACCCTCGTCACCTACACACACAGAGCCAAGACTGATTCATAAACAAACTTCACAAAACAGGTTCCGAATTAAATGTAAGCTTAGAATCAACCACCATTCAAATGAATTGAATGTAAAACTTTTCACATTTAAAAACAAACCACATTCTATTAAAATGCCCTGAAATTAAGTCTATATCTGTTTGTCTGTATTGAATTCAGTTACTGAAACGTTGTCCCTTTCAATACCAACAAATGCCCAGTATGGAATTATTCCACTAGATGGCAGTAAAACATTTAACCAAAAAGTAGTTTCATTAAATGTTTAAGTTTCTCTTTTGAATTTAAGAAGTCACCTTTTTTTCAAGTTGCCACTTATATCATTCATCATTCCAAAATGTCATTCCAATTCCGTTTGTTTTTTAGGAATAAATATATCGCCTGATGAATACAACAATAATACGTTCTAATTGTCCATATACTCTTTGATTATAAGTCTGGATAAAAGTATCCTCCATTGTCTTTTGTCTCCCTCACTACTGTAAATGTTTCGTACTGAAGTTTTACCACATATCTGTCATGATTGTCAACTTTCATGATCAACCTGTAGTCTGGATGTAGTCTGAAAAACACTGAGCAGTGGTAACTCACCACGATTGTCCCCTCCTTGCCGTGGTTGCTGTGGAACTGCAGCAGGTCTTTGAACGGAAAGTCACAGATAACGTCTGAGTTCAGGACGAAGAACGGCTCGTTGTCGATGTTCAGAAGCTCTCGAGCCAACGCCAGGGGGCCGGCTGAAAACAGACACACGCGCGTTCATTTCTAATCTTTATACAATTTAGTGACGTTTTCGCGGTTGAATTGTGTGATTTGGGCACAGGGTGATTTGGGCACCTGGTGCAATTGTATATATTGGAGACAGGTGGTGGTGAGCAGAGCACTAGCAGACATATGTTTTTTTTACCAGGGTGATTCGAGCAGGATTAAAACAAAGAAAGCCATAGGAAAGGCTTCAGGAAAGGAAATAAGAAACCCTTGTCATTGTGCTTTTGTTTGGTGAATATTGGAACGTGGAAATAAATGGAATAAAACGACTCTTGCCTGGACTTGGATCATTTTCCCCCTGCGTAAGATTCGCTATCTGGTGCCTTGACGGCAGTTAATTTTCTGTTTGACTTTTCTATGATTTTGGCCACTACAATGGATCTTACACTACATAAAGTGGAAACCTAGTGTCTGAAAGCAGCTGAAAAAGCTTAATGCCCAGCCTTCCCATCGGTCACTTGAATACAAAACTTTTGAAATATTATTCAGGTTGAAGAAGTTAGTTAAGTGTGCACAAATCCCAAATGTAATGGATATTGCAATGTTGACTAGTGTAATATCCAAATCACAGGACCTCAGTATTTTCTTTTAAAGGCAAAATATGTGTAGAAATACAATTCTGAGGTAAGTATTGTGCTAAGAGATATTGCAGCTTAGTAGCGTTTACCGCAGACTTCAGAACAAATCTTTGTATGATGCAGATATAACAGCTTCTGCAGACTTGCACTGTTTCAAATCACTGGACACTTTTACAATGCACTTTGCTGTGTTGCATCGACAGTTTCCTGTCTGCAGAGAGGAGAAACTCACCTGTGCCCAGAGGTTCCTTCTCATGAGACAGAGAGATACGAATCCTAAGCTGAAGAGAAAACAAAAAAGCATTCAGGATTCTGTAGATGGAGAACAATGAGCATTTCTGTATTGTTTCCTGTCATTCTAATTCAGAGACACCAAAGGGACGTACTCTCTCCTCCTGGACTCTCATCTCTCTCTCCAGCAGCTCCGACATGTAGCTCACCGCCAGAATCACATGGTCCACCCCCGCCTACACACACACACACACACACACACACACACACACACACACACACACACACACACACACACACACACACACACACACACACACACACACACACACACACACACACTATAAGATGGGGTCCAGCCAACACAATAACATAAGCTTTTTTTTATAAGAAAAATTCTAAAAGGTATTCTTCCTCCTCCTCCTCCTCCTCCTCCTCCTCCTCACCTTCACCAATGCCTCCAGCTGGTGCAGCAGGATTGGTTTGTTGCAGAAGTCCACCAGAGGTTTTGGGACGCTGAGGGTGAGCGGTCTCAGTCGCGTCCCGTAACCTCCGACCAGGATCAAAGCCTTCATGCTTCTGCCGTTAGCAACCGCTACCAAGGTGACCACAGCTCATCAACGCACAGCAACCAGCCTGAGGAGGACAGAGGAGAGGAGTAAATGGTTATCCATCGATATTGTGATATTAGACCGTTGTTTTAAAGGCTGCAATACAGTACAGTGCTGTACTTTTCTGAATTGAACAGACTGTTCTAGCTGCTTTATTATGTTCCCCTACCCACTTGGTCATTATACATGTGTTCTACAGTTTATATTTAAGATGTTTTAATGCCACTCAGAATTCAATTTAAGACTAATTTTACTCCCAATTTAGGAGAAAAAAGGTCTTATTTTGTTTGTGTTTTACAAACAGAGCATGGATCATGTCAGGGTGGAACGGCTGCAAACTTGTTTTGTATTGTGCAACAGATGCAACATGTTCACTGATAGTTTGAAACATCTTTTTCTTCTATTTCAGAAATACCTTCAGAACAGCAAAAAAGTCAGTTGACAACTAACTGTTGCTCAAAGTCAATAGACATGTTGACACAGTGGAGCTAGGTGGGGCTACATTGACTCATTGTGATAACAGACTTTAGTAAGGGTCTCCCAACAGAGTATGCTCCCAGATACACTGTTTTCCATTGGAATCCTCTAATGGCTTTATCACTCTGTGCTTGTAGCAGGGCTACACATGCAAACACCTCTTTACTAGTGTTGTCTTTCTTCACTTATTTATTCAGAGTTGTCTTCTGGTCTGGAACCCATCAGTAAGTTCATGAAAAGACATGTTCAAAGTCTGGCCTAAGAGAGGGGATACTGAGATGACATAGTTGCACCTTTTTCAGCCAGAATACATCAGGGGTGTCCAAACTACGGCCCGGGGCCCAACTGTGGCCCGTTGTCCATTTTGAAAAGACTAGTAGCAAATTCTACAGTATAATGGAATATGTCCCACACATGAAACTTGTGCTTGTCTTATGTTGTACTTATTAAATAGATATGTTCAAATATATTACACAGTATTCATGTGTTAATAAGCTCACTTTTCAAATAAATTCAGTCAATCTTGGTTGATAAAAAAGCCCAATGACTTATTAACATAGTAAGCTTGAAATATACCCTTCCTATTTCCCCTTATGTTAAGCAATATGAGGCTTCTGTTTTAAGACATGAGCTGCTAATACCTTTTGAAACATAATAAATGAAACCCTACGGAAAGCTGTGATGTAGGCTGTTATCAAGCATAATGTACCTACATTTGATTGATTTTGCTAACTCATAACTTAACTTATGAGGCAATATACCTCAGCTCTAGTGAGGGGCCCAGACTTGCGTAAATTGTTCTGTATGTGGCCCTTGGTGAAATACGTTTGGACACCCCTGCTTTACATGCATACGATCATGCATGAAGCATAAACCATTAACCACTTTAGGGTGGTTTGGTTAGCGTGTTTGACAGGTAGGAATGACTCATTCAAAAGTCCCATGACATAAAGAACCGTCACCGTCTCCTAATGAACTGTCACCACAGATAAAGACTTAATTCATAAGGAAGTCTGGCTTTGGTCTTATGTTAGTGTCTTATTTAATCAACCAAACAGCCACATACAGGTGTTCAAAACAACTATTACTTTAATCACCAGCAGCTAAATTAGCCTTTTTAGCCACACAGGGATACAGTGATTCCCCTCCTGTAATATTGTGATCATTTATAAATGGACGCTGGTATTCTTAATATTAACTATAGATTTGTGAGATAAATAAAAACTGTGCTCTTGTTTAATAACACAAATGAACTCAGTGATTTAAGCTAAACCATGTTAGCTCAGCTAAGCTAACTGGTTACCTGATTTAAAACGACAAGCCGACTGTTAACAAGAGAAGTTAGCAAAATGTTCCTGTCCTCAGTCTGTGGCAAAGTGAATAAAGACAATGAAAACCTACTTACTGGGATTTTGTTCACCAAAAGTGTCCAGGAGGTTTGAGACTCTGGGAATGACACGTAAAATCGTTCAAATCCGAATTCCTTGTTTAGTTTCCGGTCAAGCAGCTGAGCGTCAATTCAGAAAGCGTGATAAGCCAAACATCCGGTGCAAGGTTTCAAAATATAATTATTGTTTTCAGTACGTTTTTTATAGTGATTCTTTATTGAGTCTTTTGATATTTTCCTTTTATAAACTCGTTATACAGTCTCTCAGTCCGAACAGTATTATTTGTATACTTTATAAATAAGGCTGTCACATTGAGTATTGAGTAGCCTACTATGCAAATAATAACATTACAAATAAAATACAATGCGCATATTATGTAAGAAAGTCAGACCTAAAACCAATGAAACCTCCATCCACAACTGCCAAGGCACAC